TGTCAAGTTTTTATTTTGCCACCTGCACTGCATTCCCATCGGATTACTCTCAGAGTTTTTTTTTCTTCGAAGGTGCCGCGGCTGTCGCTCTGGCTGGTCTCATTAATAGTACTAAGGTGACCAAGACTCGTTTGGTGGACAATAAGTATCTATTTTTCGGCGCTGGTGCGGTAAGTCTTGCGTATTTATTGCAACATTCTCTGCATTTCCTTAGCCTTTGGTCAGGGAACTTTACGATAAATGCCGCAGCAGTAGCATCTTGTTAAATAACCTAGTTTGCATAAGTCAACATCCATTCCACGTAGAAATGCCTTTTTAGCTTGCACAAAAAATCGTAAAACCTACACATGTCAGTAATTGTAATATTTTGTAGATATACTCATGTCCTAGAATCCCTTGTAAGCGCTGTGGTAGAAAGTTGGAAGCCATAGTTTACTTTCTTCGTTAGCGTTGGAAATTTCAAGTATGTACTAGATCCCCAATCAGAATTATGTGTTTTGGGGCATGAGCTGAATCTTCGATGGTGCTTTTACCACAGATCCCGTAATAGAGCCCGATCTTCCATCCGAAGGTGCTCATGCAGAACCACAACTGTACCTCGATCTTTTCGATGACCCAACTGTCGTTACTCCCTACGATCAAATAGCGATTTGGAGAACAGAAGTGCACTTCCTATTGTGTATTTTACTTTTTCTCTTTACCGCAGAACGCAACTGGAATCGCTAGCATTCTTGTGGCTGCTATGAAGGATGAGGGCGTCTCCGAAGCCGAAGCTCGATCTCGTATCTACATGATGGATTCTAAAGGTCTTCTCGTCAAGGTACCTCATTTGTATCCATTAACAGCAATATTAAACTACTTATTCTCGGTAGTCAATGTAGTTAAGGGCTTATCAACCTACACCCTACTTTATATTTTTCCATTTATTTGTCTACTTAAATATCTGCGTTACTTTTCAATATACCTCGACGTTATCCTCCCTGGCGAAGAAGCCTGAAAATGGTTTAAGGCGAATGTTCTGACCATTTATCTTTTCAGTCTCGTTATGGTGGAGTAGCAGAACCGCATAAGCAGCCGTTCGTTCGTGACGATATGGGACCGATGGACCGACTAAAGGACGCAGTCACTGCCATTCACCCGTCTGTTTTAATCGGTAAGTTACTTGCCGTTCCTGTGCTAAAAGCCCGGGTAATCGAGCACGTTCACCAATTTATCAAAGCAGGTGTTTCAAGCTTAGTTTCAAGGCTTTCTTCAGCCCCTGTGTGAAAATACAGTATGTGACCATGTAACAAAAATATTCGTGTTTATTTCGTCTGCGTCCTCCTTTGATGGGTCATAGCGTTTTAAGAATAGCAGTAAATTCCGAAAATTCGTTGGCGAGCATACCTAGTTTTTCGATAGATTCTCATCGGGCTATGTCGACGACATCTTCGCCATCGCCCCAACAGAAACCGATGTAGACGCGCTCCTAAGTATTGTAAATTAAGCACACCCCTCCATCAAGTTCACGTTGGAGGCGGAACCGACAGGTTCGCTGCCCTTCTTAGACGTCCTCCTAAATCGAATTTCTGACCTGGTCCGGCCAGTATACTAACTTTAACATTTTCGTACCTATCCACCAGTGATGTACTTTAATCCGCTGCTTAACGCAAAGGGCTAGAAAGATTTTCTCGGCAGACACTACTGACATGGAGCTCAAGAAAATCCAGGACCTGCTTCGTGAGAAAGGGTATCCTGAAAGAGAGAGAAAGAAAGCCCACCGCACCCACTGTGAAAAAGAAGACGCTATTCTTCAAAGCCCCCTTTCAAGGGGATGCGGCAAGTGAACTCCTAAAAAGACGCCTTAACCAAGCCGTGACACGAACCTTTCCAGCAGCGAAAGTTCGGGTGTTATTTTCAGCCAATCTGGTCTTGCACGGCAAAGGTGAGGATAGGTTGCCAGCTCAGACCACTTCCACATGCCTTCGCTTACTACTGTGGAGTAGGTTATATCGGCCGTATGAGTCGGCGCCTATCCAAAAGAATACGGGAGCACCTCCCGGCATGGTGAAATCAGGAGTATAAACAGCGCCATTCTCGCCCACATAGTTGATTCCGGACATCTTGTGGACCCCAACGAAGCCTTCAGGGCGATTTACAAGGTCCTACAAAACTATCCAAAGTCCCTGCGTTAGCGCCTGCTAGCAACAGCAGAGGCGACCGCTATCAGCTTGAGGAAGCCGGCATTGTGTGCGCAACAAAACCTGCGAACTCCACGTCTGGCTGGGTCATAGTAACTTAGCTGCATGCACTCGTCCGCGCTCGCTATGTTTCCCTCCCTCCATCCCCCCCC